ACCTACATTCTTTAGAAAGAAAGGAATCAGGAGGAAGCTTCCAATTTACTTCCCTGGTACATTAGTTAAGGTAACCCAGCTGCTGTAAAAGATAAACTAAAATTGCATTGGCTTTACACAATAACAATTCATTCCTCCTCAAGCAACAGTGCAATGCAAATGAAATCACCCAGGAAGCTCTGAAACATACTCCTGTGCCCCACTCCAAGGATTTCTGATTTGATAGTTCTGGAGTTGGGCCAGGCATTAGAAATTTTTTTTAAGCTTCCCCAGGATTCTAATGCACAGCCAGGGTTGAGACCCACTGAACCAAGGGATTATTAGATCTTCCTCATCTCTCATCTTCCCATCTAGACCTCTGGGTTAGCCTGTGAGGGGCCTTTCTGGGTTGGAAAAGTTTCTTAGCTTACTGGCCAATATAACGTTTCAAAAGTTCAAAGAGAGAAAGTGACTTTGCAGGGAACGAAGGATCATTTAACCCAAACTAGTATAACTGCGTAAGTCTCCCAGTTAATTCAGTTTCATGAGATGTGTCCTCATGTGCCTGTTTTGTTGATAAGCCCAGACTTTATTTATCCTGCCTGGTGCTGGGTCTCACACTTTTCCATCACAGTTTCCAATACTACTGAAATACTACCTGCTATTTACTTATTCATTAAATATTTATTGTTTTCAGCAGTAAAGGGTAGTGGTTAACAGTACTGGCTCTGGATCCACACAATTTGAATATTAGACTCACTAGTATCCAAATCATCACTAGCTGTGACCTTGGATAAGTTGCTTAACCTCTATGCCTCAGTTTCCTCTTCTGTAAAATGGGAAAACATAATCCTAACTATCTCACCAACTGTCATGAGGATTAAACCAGTAAACCCAATGGAGAAATCTACGATAGTGATCAGCACATAGTAAGTTTTCAAAAAGTGTTGGCTATTATTCCTAATTGTTTTTATTGTTTTCAAATGCGGGTCTCTGCTCAGGCTTTGAGGGGTACAGAAAAGATGAAGGCTATGCCCCTGCCCTTAAGCAATTCACAACTGGGCATGGGAGACAGACAAACAGACAGATGAACTCTGATACGGTGGCTGGCTTATCATACTGGGCTTTCATGGCATTGTCTGTAAAATTCTGGGAGAGTCTCCAGGATGATGTCAAGGGGCAGGACAGGAAGGCTTCCCAGAAGAGGTGGCATTAGATCTGAGCCTTGAAGGGGAGAAGGCTTCTTAAACCTTCAGGCTTAGTCACTTGCTACTGGAGTGACATGGAAAAGAACAAATGACGAGTCAAAAACCCACCTGCTGGAATTTACAAGGAGACGTTTCTTCACAGTAGAGTTTGCCAACCACACCGGGTGAAGCCACCAACCAGGGCTTCTGTAACATGCCCTCTGTGCCTGTGACTGTGCCTGCTTATGTCCACTCCCACAGACACTGCCCGGCAGCGAGCTTGGACCTTGCGTTTGGACAGCAGGGCCTGCGGTGCTGCATGGCGTGGTTGTGGAAAGGTCGGCAGGACCAGCGGCGGGGTGGGCAGGGCAGAGGGAGGCAGGAACTGTTCTCGGGAGTTTCACAAGGCACAAAAATTCTGGGTCAGGTCTCTGCCTCAGCCCTTTCAGGATATCCTGTCATTCAGCCGGGACACATATACAGTTTAGAGTGGCCAGTGTCATCAAGACCCCTGCATTTGCCATGTTTCCTGCCTAGAGGCAGATCTCTCATGTCTTCTGGTTCGATCCAGGAAAAGGAAAGGAAAAGATTTAAAAGTAAACACTGAAATGAGAAAGAACTCACCGAGAAATCATCAGAATAAGTTAAAATAGTTCGATCGGCCTGACAGTTGCCTGGCACAAAAAAAGCAGCAAACATTTCCTCATCATGCTACAATATTTCATCCTTTTTTTTCTCGGATTGGTGGTACAGAGTTTCTGCTCGCCGGCCGAAACCACAGGGCAGGTAAGATGAGACTTTCATATTGATTTCATAATGACTTTCATGCTGAGTTTCAGGATGTGTTCAAAAGCTTCCTGTTTTCCTCTATTGTCATGGGTAAAGAACACTATCTGGACCTCATAAAATAAAAAGAAAGCTCGTGGAGACTAAGGTCCTAAGGTGATGCACCATCTCTCTGAAAGTGTGCTAGCCCAGTTCTTTCTATTCCTGTACCAAAACACCACTGCTGGGATCTCTGATTTTAGTGCCAACATTCCTGTTCCCACTGCATATTTTGTTATCCTGCTTTTTGTTTGTTTTAATAGTCTCATCACTGTGAGTACCTACTATCCCATCTTTCTGACTGTAGAAAATGACTATAGCTGTGGAGAGATGTTCTGGGGAATTCCAGCGTGGATGATATCTGGCTGAGGAACGTTAAGTGTCAGAAATACTAACAAAATTCATCAGGTGTTCACCCCTTCTGCCTTGCACAGGGCTGTAGTGAAAGTACAGGGTGGTCTGCTGGGGAGCCCATGTGAAGTGTACCAGCACACCGGGCCCTCGAGCAAGCTCACACAAGCTGTCACCACAGAGTGAGGCTAGTATCAGTGAGAGCACATCTGAGGTGATTTACTTAAAATGCATTTCACGGTATATGATTTCTGATCTATTAAGAATAAATCTTAAACATGATTCTGCATCTGCAGGCAATTTTTATCAACACCAATTTTACTCCAGTTGGCTGAAGTCTGATCATGCTTTTTATCAAAACGTGGGAGGATGACAAAAGGGTTAGCTCTTCCAGTTCTGAAGTTAGAAAGGGGTGAATCTGATCTGTGGCTTTTCATCTGTAGGTTTAACAAGTATATCTGAGGATCAGTCACAGTGCTCCACAGCTCACGAACTGATCGACCCTGAGAAAGTTACTTAATTTCTCTAACCATCAGTTTCTCCACTGACAGTGCCCCACAAATGGTAGTAATTATCATCATCATCACCATCACCATCATCATCGCCGAGTGCTTAGGTTAGTGTAGAAATCAGGCCTTGATGGGTGTTGAAAGCTGAGTCTACTTTTCAGAGGGGACAAGTTTGTAAATACTTATGTATGAGAGGTAGAATGAGCCGTTCCATCTGAAAAGAGCAATTTAAAGGTCAAGGGGTTTCTTAAAATGAAGGCATTTAATCTGATCTACTAAGAAAGAAAAGAGAAAGTCATGTTACCCTATATTCTTAATAAATGGGTAACCCTAATGTAAAGAAAAGCCTGCTCTAAAAAAATGTAGAGGTGTCATGACACTTAAAGGGGATTAATTCAAACTGTATCTAAGTGTAGCTTTTATTATTATTCCATAAAGAACATTCCAGTGCTCTTTTGGATCATAATGACCACCAAACGAAAGCTGCCTGATTTCATTTTTCTATACGCCACTTGAGTATAAGGAAGAGAAAGTGATAATCAAGGAATCAGAAGTAACTTACAGGGTGACCTTGGACATGTCACTGTGCTGTCCCTCACCTCAGTTGTCTCCCCCCAAAAATGAAGATGATGATACCTGCCCTACTTATCTTTAGAGCAGTGAGATCAAATAAGATAATGCCTTTGGAAGTATGTGAAACCATAAATTGTTCTGTGAGTGTAAAGGTTCTTCTTATGCAGACTTTACATATTGAATGATCTTAGAAGGACTGATGACATTTCTACTACACCTAACCTACTGCCGGGTCTGCAGATTGAGCTGGGAGACAACAAAGAAGTATGAAATGTGGTTTTCTCCCTCAAGGGGATTTTAAATGGAGAGCAAAGACTAACAAAATGTGCTCCATTGGGCCAGCCATAAGAAGAATAGAAGTAGAGAAAAGGAAGAGATGGTGTTAAACAGGGCCTTGAAGGATATAGTTGGGGTGGCCAACAGGAGGGGAGAGAACATTGCTGCCAGGAGAGGCAACAGGCAAAGCACAGGGGTGGGATAGAGCAGAGTTACAGGAACCAGCAGTTACTGCCTGTAATAATCCAGAGACTGGGCCAGGAAATTTGCACCTGTCATTTAAAGGTCTCAATAATCTCAAAAGTGATTATGAATATCTTCCCTTTACACGTGATGGCAAAGGGCAGGAAATTCATTCAAAATTGTACACTTATAAAACATAGAACTTGACTCCAAACTTAGGCATTTTGACCCCAAGTTCAGTCTCTCTTCATTGTACAAAGCTGCCTCATCTTAAGCTTGATGCAAAGATTCAGGAAACTTGAGAAAGGGAAGGCGATCTACCTGGGAGGGTCAGCCCCAGTGCTGTAAACAATGGGGGATCCCAAAGACAGGACCAAAGTGGGTCTGGATTATTCTTTTCAGCAGTTGATTCTCTGCCACCTTATGTTGCTAAATAACTGATTCTAGTGTGTCTAGTTTTCCCAATTTATTCATTTATTCAACAAGGATTCACTGACCACTACTATGCATCAGACACTGTTCTAGGAGCTTTGGGTACAGCTCTGGACAAATCAGAAAAAGATACTCACTCCCATGGAGCCTACTTTCTAGGTAGATTGTAACCTAAAGATTGCAAATATCTTTGGAACGGGAACTGTATCTTCCACAGCATTTAGCATGATGCTGTCCCCAGGGCAGATATTCCTGTAGAATCAATGATGAAAAAATATACTTGAGACCTGTTGATCTATGACCAATTGATCTTAAATAATCAGCTTTAACAATTTCCCCCTATGAAACACGTATTCTGCAATACTTATATTTCAGGTCCCCTCTTGGATAAGTGTGTGTAATGACATTACCTTACCCTGCTGAACTTCAGACTCTAGATCAGAGATGGCCAATATATAGTAAAAGCAGTGTCCCTTCCCTCTCCCACAGCCATTGCAGACATGGTTTGTCGATCCCAACACCACTCCCAGATAAGGTTAAAAGCAGTAAGCCAGTCATTGCCAATAAACCTCATTGCCATCCCTGGAATTCCATTGAGTTGAAGCCAATAGAGAAGACTGGCCAAGCCAGACATTTTGCAAGGCTTTGATAATGGGAATTGATGTTCTTTTTTATGTTTACACAGGCAAAAAGATGTGATAAGAAGTCTCTCCTAACAATTAGGACTGAGTGCCGATCCTGCTCACTCAACCTTGGAGTCAAGTGCCCAGATGGTTACACCAAGATTACCAATGGCTCTGTAGGGGTTCGAGATTGCAGGTACTTGCTATGAGAAAATAAGTGTGCCTAAGTCTTGAAACTTAAGGAATTGTGAATACAAATTGAAACTCCCTGTCTCAAAAATTATAAAGCATCTCCATGATTTTTCTCTTACTCTAAAACCAAGTTCAGTCTCTCTTCATTGTACAAACCTGCCTCATCATTGAGGCCAAACTTAGGCAATTCACAATTTATAAACTTGAGTCTAAAGCATGTATTATTATTGATTCACATTTCAATACAAAACTGACTATATTTTATTGCACATAACATTCTCCCTTCACCTTGCCCTTCTTTATTTTGAAAATCTGGGTTATGTTTTATTTGGAAAAGGTTCTAGTCTGAATGTGTTAAAAGCCTTGGGTGGGTCTGGTAGTCATCTCATAACTAGCTATGGGCCCTGATACTAATTAGAACCCAAAGAGGGGAAACAAATTGTATTAGTACATTTCTGTTGCTTATAACAAAATACTTGGAACTAGGTGATTTATAAGAAAATTAAATTTATTGCTTACAGTTTCAGAGGCTGGGAAGTCCAAAGTCCACAACTGGTGAGGGCTCTGCCCTGGTGGTGACTACAGTGATTCAGGGTATCACATTTTGAAATGGCAAAGCAGAGAGACTAACCTCTCATGATCTCTTCTTTTAAAGCCCTCAGAATCACACACACAACCACCATTATTAATCCATTCACTACAGTATGTTCCTACAATCTAATCACTTCGTCAAGGCCTCACCTTTCAATTACCATAATAGGATTTCCCAAACTCAACAGTTACAGTGGGGATTTAAGCTTCGGTGAGGTTGGGGGGCATTCGTTCTACAGCATGGTTGCATTTTATGTGAACATCACATTCTTGAAGGCCTCTTATGATTCAAAACTCTCATAATTCAAGCTTAATCCTGGGGAAGGATGACAAGTGGCTCTGCTCTAATGGGCACAGCTATAAGCTTCAATTGCAAACCAAATTTTTTATTTACTCAGTCTACTAGTGTAGAAATTAGTACTCAATCAGTATTATTTTTCACTTTGTATGAAAGGAAACCTTAACATCATTTATTTCATCCTACTTCACTTCTGATATCACCCCTAGATATTTCTCCCTGACTTTCATTGTTCCCTGATTTTTTTTCTTACATTACTTACAATTGAAAATAATTCATGATTAAATTTTGTTCTACCTAGAAAGCCAAATGTGTTTAATCTATATTTTTTCAACTATAGGTAAGTATAAAGACCCAAATAAAAATTTAGGACAATCCCACCACCTACAGTTAACTGTATTGCTCTGATCATGGGTTAACATCCTCTCTTCTTCCTCCAAGGTACACTTTTGAGGTGAGAACTTACTCTCTGTCACTCCCTGGATGCCGCCATATTTGTAGGAAAGACTATCTTCAACCTCAGTGTTGTCCAGGTCACTGGGGCCCAGACTGCATGGGTAAGTGACACAACATTTGGACTTTAATACCTGCATCTTGATGTCCCATCTCACAAAAAATTGAAATAAAGGAAGCCAAACAAAAGGAGAATGTAAGCATCTTTTTCTAGAAATTTTTATTTTAGTTTGTGTGTAGACAATCTTTCTCACCCTGTCAGCTGTTATAAAGAAATCTGCTTTGCTGCACTTAGAGATTTCTCTGTAAGAGAATTTCTTTATAAGCCAGGAAAAGGGACAATTGAAAGGATATCGATTTTTGTAAATAAAAAAGACAACTGGCCAAAGAGAAGAAGTGAACATGCTGGCTATTATGACCCCAAATACAAAATTCTTTAAGAATAAATTTTATTACGATATTTCGAAGACTGTGGTTATTGTTTGGCAGCCAAAATAATCGTTAAATATTCTGAAAATTTAAGTCTTAGGATGGAATATCAAACTCTATAATGTTGGGCTTAAGACACCTCAGTGTAAAACAACCGTATAAAGTTAACTGTGAAAAGTTACATGGAAATACATATATACATAAAAATTAATTCTAACCAGGTTCCACTGTAAGAAAAACTACTAGCAAAGGTCTAAATCAACAGTACAATTAGACTTCTGTGACCAAGCATAGCATCTGTCAGCCGTTGGCACTCAAATGGTGACTGAGTCCTTGCTACCATGTACAAATTGTGCGAAATCGCTTTTGGGGTGGGATGAGTCAAGAATTATGCATTTTAGGGCCGGCCCGGTGGCGCACTGCTTGGGAGCGCGGTGGCGCTCCTGCCAAGGGTTCGGATCCCACATACAGACCGGCGGCTCACTGGCTGAGCGAGGTGCAGGCACAACACCGAGGGTTGCGATCCCATTGCCAGTCCCAGTCCGGTGCGGGCGCAACACTGAGGGTTGCGATCCGTTACCGGTCACGAAAAAAGACAAAAAGGAAAAAAAAAGAAGAATTATGCATTTTAATTCATGAATTTAGCATTTGTTCCTGATCTTCTAAGATATAATGAAAACATCTCCTTAGGATCCATGTAAGGGGAAAGATTAGTTCTCTTCTGCTTTGTTTTTTTCTGAGTAAAGTTATTAAGCAAGTTGTACACAGCTTGTAAAGTTTATAAAGGTAAAGAAAGAAAATATCAACTTGTATTCTGTCACACATAAGAAACCCTAAATACTTTTGTGTATTTCAATCTTAGTCTTCTTTTTCTATATAGCTTCTAAATAGTTGGACCCATGTTGTATGTATAATGTTGCCTTCAGTTGTTGTTTAACTAATGATTAAATGAAAAAGAGCTTTCGTTTACTCAACGTTGCTGACATTAGGTAGGAGAGAGGTGCTCAGCCTGCATTATCTGATATAATTCTTAAAACAAATCTTTGCATTAGACATTTTCATCCCCATTTTACCTATGAGGAATCAGATTTGAAAATTATCTCTTGCCAGTTTCCTGGCAAGGATATAGCTTGGTAAATAATAAAGCAAGTTCAAGTTCACGGCTGCTTGACACCAAAGCCTACTGTTTTTCTGCTTTATCCCATAGCCTGGAGCAGAGCTTGTCAGAAAGGAGATCCCCAGAATGTGTTTCTAATGCCTCTTTAGATTGATAGGTTCTTTCAGCCTTCTCAGTCAACGTCTGGATTATTCTCCTTGGCCTGGAAAGGTCAAGGTTTGGCATTTAAGATATCCTGGACCTTTTCTCTGTTAACTGCTCTACATTCAGCTTCACCCTAGTATGCTGGCACTGCATATTTCTAAGAGTTTAGCACAGCAGAAACACATAGGCGCAGTGTCTTTTAAAGTGATTAACCCAGACTTCCAGATTTCAAAGATTTTCTTTAGTGCCAAATGTGGTCATGATCACATCCAGATCTTGCAGACATTCTGATACAATAGAAAGAACTTTTCGATTTGCTTATGTCTTTCTAACCCATGAAAACTAATCAGATGCTAAGTTATTAATCAAACACACCATAGACAAGAAAAGGCTTTGTCCAAGATGCAGTGCAAAAGTCAGCATGTTCCAACATAATGATTGCAGACCACAGCCAGGAGGGCAGAACACTGGACCTGCAGCCTAACGATCTAGGTTTGAACTTAGTTCCATCACTTATTGGTCTGGACAAATGAATTCCTGCTTAGGCCTCAGTATCCTCATCTGTCAAATGAGAGTAAAAAGTCCTTTTCACAAAACTTTACAAAACTGTGGTAGAGATTTTAAAACATTAATCTAGGTGAAAGGACTTGGCAAAGTGTATGACACAAAGAAGTCACTTTATACATGTTTAATGAATCACTGAATGAGTAAGTCACAGTCAAAATAGACCTCTGATAATGAGACTCTCCCTGAGCTCTTTTTAAACAGTAGGTAACTCATAAAACACGAGCAGGCAAAGAGGATTCAAAAATATGTGACAGCTGAGGCCTGGACATTATTTCTGCTGTCCTTTCGTTGTGGCAAAAGGGTACTTCCCATTATCTTCATCTTCCAAACATACTAAATGTCTCAAAAGGCTTCCTTCCTCTGGCTCAGGAAAAAGATAAATCCTCTACTTGGCTGTGTATTTCACGAATCCCATTTTGTGGTGGTAGCAAGCAAGACCTTGACTGTCGCTTTACATTTCCGCAAGGATAAGGCCCTTTCAGAGCTGCTGACATGTGTCCATCCTTCTTTTTGAGGAAGCACATTCCCATGCTCTAGCATGGCCCTGTTTCCAAAGTAAATGGGACATCCACTTCCTTTTTAATGCATCAACAAACACATTCATACTCAACACCTCTGAGTTATTTCAAAGATTATTTCAATAGTATCTTACCCAAATTAGGAAATAACTGTGATCAATACTGAAAACTTGGAAAACACAAAAAAGCACAATAAAAAAATTACCCATCATTTTCTAGAATTAAGAATAAGGCATGAATTCTAACTTGGGTAAAAAATATCATTCTGATTTAAGGAAAGTGTTTCTATCCAGATTTAACCTGCTTCTCCCTAATTAAGATTTGTAGTGCTTTATCAAATGTGCATGGGGCAGTCTTGTCTCATTAGCACAAAAACACAGTTTTAACTTTGAAACTTAATCATGTCTGAACAGCCAATATCCTATTTGAGATGAATTAGATTTTTTTATTTAAACATCCCAGTTCTTTTTGTTCTACCATGAGCAATTACTGGATTTGTGCAATGACTCAGAGTAATGAAAAAGAAATGTGTGCAGAGAGGCTACACACAAACTCAACTGTGGCCAAAGCAATCCGATTTATTTCAAAGAGAAGTGGTCTTGATTTTTCTTTTTTAGGTCAGTGTCATTAAATTATTATCCACATTAATTTTTAATATCATGCTGTTTGTGTTTTCAGACCTTTGTCTCTCCCACTGCATATTCCTTGCCATTTACTGCACAGTTTGCAAATAATGGACTATATGGATTTGAAACCATTCTTTCAGGCATGTCCTTTTTTGCTCTGAGTGACAAATAATGCTGAGTTGACATGAAGGACATATTTCACTTCAGTTTCCCAGGCAGACAATTCTAACCAGAGCTATAAATGGAATACCAGGATATGTTTTCTGCCTAGCACTCTGCACTAAGCTTTTAAACAAAGGTGGTGACATGGAATAGGCACCTCTAGAGTTTCTTAGGAGATAAAGTTACAGGGAAGTCCCTGGCCTCTGGCTGGGCAGGAAGTTTATTATCTTCTTTTAAAGAAACAGACCTCTGATGATCTGCTGACAGCTTATAATGGCTCAACCTCCTGCACGAGGAAAGTCACAAAGCAAGAGACCACCAGAGTAGTATGACCAAAGGGAAATGTGATAATGACCTAAAATAGTCTTATCAGCTACTTGAGCTTCACAATGCATCAGAAATGTGCCCTTGTGGTGAGTTCTTTAATATCTCTTCCAAGCATGGTTGCTGAGAATGTCAGTTTCCCCATCTTCTTTCTTAATGGGGCATGAAGTGATGGAAAACGATTTGAGAAGCAGAGAAGAAATGTATACTTTTGCCTTAAATTTTCTATTTAAAAATCAAACAAGTGGTTTTTACAAATTATCAAACTCCCACTCTCTTGCTACCTTTTTTCCAAAGTTCCTTCCAAGGTTGGCTACCTCATAAAAATCAAGCATTTATTGAGCACCTACTAAATGCTGCACCTAATCACATATATGATAGGTTCTTACCCCCCAAAAGCTCACAGATTACTGAGGGAGATGGACACAAAAGTGGACAAGGAAAATCAATTGTACCTGTGAGCCCAGATGAGGATACTGGGACTTTGAGGAGTTTTGCAGCTTGTCCAGTGAGAACCAACTAAGAAGTGCAGAGTCAGACTAGGAAACAGGCCTGTCTCTCTCATTGTAGAGCCCCAGCTCTCACCCATTACTCTCTCCTGCTTCCCAGAATACCTGGCTGTGTTGCAGGGTCAGCTCCTGCTCTTACCTATCCCTCTGCTGGGAAACTTGCCTCACCATTAGCTGTGTGCCTGTCCTGCCTGGAGTTGCGTTGCTTTCTAGTTCCAGCCTAAAAGGGAGAGGCAGTGTGGTTTTACAGTGAGATGGCAAACTCTAACGTCAGATTGCCCCAGTACCATTCACAGCTTTACCTCTTTCTAGTTCTGAGTCTTACACACCCTTTAGGGTTGGTTGCCAGATTTAGCAAATACCAAAAGAAGGAACACAGTTAAATTTGAATTTCAGATAAACAATGAATACACATATGATATTTGGGACATATTTATGCTAAAAAAATTATTCATTGTTTATCTGAAATTCAAATATAACCTAACATCCTATGTTTTATCTGGTAACCCTATCCTTTGGCACCAGTTTTCTCATCTATAAAATGGCAATGATAATGCTAATACTCCTGCCTTCCCAAGATTGTACCGAGGATTAAGTGAGGTGGAGCATATCATGTGCTTAGGATGTGCCTGGCAGACGGTAAGCACTCAGAATATGCTAATTATCATTTCTGTCTTGTGCGGTTCTCAGGTCACCAGCTGGCCACTT